AAACCAAGTCTTACCCTCAGCAGCTTCATTCAAAGGTGTGTGAACTAATGCAGATGCACATATCTCACACAGCTGAAGAGTAAACAATTTTACTGAATCGAGCATTGCTGCATGTGACTCCAACATGAAGCCTACCAAAACCATACCTTTAGATAGGGATAGTCCTGCATTTTATTTTGCTGTCTTATCTTTCTTTGTAATGAGGTTGATATGTTAAGAGGTGCACCTTTTACTGTGCTACTTAAAATTTGTTCAAATTATTTGCCTGTGAAAACTCCTGGGGCCCCTTCAGTGAAATACTGCAGACATTAAAAAAAAAAAAAAGTAATTTTGAAAAAAAATATATATTTCCCTATAGAGGGAAATACTTCTCATACACAGCTGTGCTGTTTTAGCTAATATGTGAAAAAAAAAGGAGTATGCAATAGTTTATCTCTGTGTCAGCATTTAAACATGTACAAGTACACTGCTGAAGCATTACTGAAATAAAACGAAACTGATTATATAAATCAGACCATATTAAAAAAATATACAAATAAAAAACTTGTGATGATGTTCAAACAAAAGAGCTACGTGAGAAAGAGGTACTGGGATTAACACTTCCACATAGTTAAAAAGTGATTATTTGGATATAGCCTTCTTTTGTCACCAAGGATCTATGATTTGCATTAATCCCTAGCTTAAAGAGTACTATAATGAAACAAATATATTAGTAAGCTAGAAACTCTATACTGTTCTTACCTGTTATGCAAATTTTCATTTCTGATATGTATTTTGGGGTTACTATCCAGAAAATACCATTTTCCTTTTGAGACATGAGACAGAAACAACATGAAAAGAACAAACAGAAGCAGAGAACCTGCCCAACTATATTTGGAGCCAATTTCCTCCCCTTCTGTATCTGAACTAGATTCTTCCTCCTTTTCTTTTTCCTCCTTTTCACTTCTCTTTACTTTTAAAGAAGGCTAGAAATGTTCTGGGATGTGCTTTCTTTCTGGAAAGTCAAAATCTAGATGGGAGCCAATGTTCCATCATTTATTCACCAAAATCTCTTTTTAATTTTGTTTTGGGTCTTTCAGGCCTTCCATGAAACTACAGTTTCATTTAGGATTCACTTTCTACTTCATCTGCAAAGAAATATGGTTTACAATACAGCCTTCTTTCACAGTTGGAGAAAAATGCTGAAGAGCTTCAAACAGCAGAAGCTACCAGATCACAGAATTATAGAATATTTCAGGTTGGAAGTGATCACTGCAGGTCTCTAGTCCAATCAAGCTCCCTCTCAAAGGGATATCAACTATGAGATCAGCCCAGGCTACTTATGACTTTATCAAGTCACACACTGGAGATCCCCAAAGATGGAGATAGCAAAACCTTCTGGGCAACCTGTTCCAATGATGAGCATCTCTCATGGTGAAAAAATTTCCCCTTCTAAACTGTCTGAAAATGTTTCAATGTAAGTCTATTGTCTCTCACCCCCTTGTCATGCAGCACTGTGAAGAACCCATCCTTGATAACCTCCTCATAGACATTGTCAGGCTGCTGTTAGGTCTCCCTGAAGCCACCAAACAAAGATATTTTTCCTTTTCCCAGGCTGAACAAAAACAGTACCCTCAGTCTGTCTTTACAGTGCAAATGCTAAAGCTTCCTGACCATACCGGTGGCCCTCTGTCAAACTCACTCCCATCTATAGATTACTTTCACTGGGGACCCAAAAGGACTGGATGCAGTATTCTACACAAATACCAGGAATTTTTCTCCTGGAGAAAAAAAAAAGAGATTTGTTTTTCTTCCTGAAGGTCTCTACTTGTTTTCTCTCCTTTGAGCATGCCTGTGCATGCATGTTCACACATACAGATATTCTGGACCTAAACGTCCCTTCCCTGATTTTGCATACTAAAATGCTATTTGGCTTATTCTGGGTTATACTAGTGTTAGTGAAAGACAGATCAGTATAAAAATATACATTTTAATGTTATATACATACATGCATTCAAAAACTGTGAACATATGCACACAGTCATTACTTTTATAACTAAACCCTTAAAAAGTGGCTGTGTAAAAAGGCATGGCTTTAGGTATCCCTTGCACACTTCAACATTAGCCTCTAGCATTTGGTTTTGTTTTTTTATTTTTCCTTAAATTTGTTTCTCTCAAGTTAAAGGATGATGCACAAATCTCAGTTAAGACAAGGAAACAAAGAAGAAAAATATGAGAAAATGCTTTTTCTAAGGCCAAGGAAGACCTAAGAGCAGAAGGAGAAGAAGGCACCAAATGAAGCCAAAATTCCCAAGCTGCTGTTATGCTGGCACCACAGAGATGACAGAAGCTGTGAGAAGCTGACAAACATGAGAGAACAGTAGGTGAAGGAAGTGCGCACCCTGCATAATAAGGTGTCTCACTGCAGTTCTACAGATGAGGAGCAGAGCATGTGCGGAAGCCTACACTTTGCTCACTGGGGAGATCTAAAGTCCAGAAGAGAAATAAGTCCAGGGAAATGTAGTCTTGAAAGCAAATCATCTAGTTAACTCATCTGGATCAAAGCACCAAACTTTCACCTCGCTCCAAACTAGGCTGCCTGAAAAACTTTCTCAGTGCTTACTCTAGATTACTATGGCATGGGAAACACTAAACATAAATAAAAAGGACCCAATAGACATCTACACAAGCATTCCTTAACTAGCCTGAACATACAAAACAGAGAGTAAATTTTCACTCATGTGGGATGGCCTGGGAAGTGCACTCTCTGCTTTGTCATTCATGATTATTGTGCCCATCCCACCCTTGGTCTGATACAGCCCCCAAAGCTTTATGCAAAAATGACATATATTCTTTTCTTTATCTGTCTCATTTGGCACTTGTTCAAAGTACTACCACACTATTGGATGACAGAGGCTGCAGATGCTCACGTAGGAAAACCGTGATCAAAATGTTAAGAAGTTCATAATAGTCTCATAATGGTGTAATTAATTTCTAACCAAGGCAAAAGATAGGCTTGAAAAAACCTCAAACATTGCTACTAGGCACTTAGTGCTTCTAAAATAGCTACTAGGCTACTAGTGCTACTAGGAATCGTTTTTGTAGCCCTTAAAATCCTTCACCAAGTTCAAATCCAGGTGGCCTTTGGCTTTCCTAGCCATGTCTCTGCATGCTCAGTGTCTATACAGAGAGGCTGTGGAGTCTCTGTCCACGGGGATATTTAAAACTCAACTGGATGTGGTCTGGGGCAACTTGGTGGCACTCCTTGAGCAGGGGGTTGGACAAAATGACCTCCAGAACTCCCTGCCAACCTCAATCAATCTGTGACTCTCTGGGTCCACTTCAGAATGCATTAGAAAAAAAAAAAAAAAGTCCTCTAAGAGCAGTGAAGTAAGGGATAAAAGTCTGTCAGTTTTGATGTTCTGATTTAGTATGGAACTTGTATAACTTAGCAGTGATACAACAGTTCTTGCCCCAGGGGATATTTAAGTGAACATTTCCACACATTATGGCTAAATCTTGCAAATGCCATCATCAAGCTTACAGTGAAATTTAGCCTTTTCAAATTAAAGGCCTTAAGTTAATAACATGGTACATTCTAATGATGATTCCTGCAAGCCGTGATTGTTAACATTTTTGAGATTTAAAGCATTTACATGAGTAAACTGCAACTGCTGCCTACTCCAGTTGTTAAATGCTATGTATTAGTGAAAACTTGATATGCTGTGTCAAAAATGTAACTCTTAAGTCAATGAAAAATCTGCAATATGCAGAGACAAACACAAGCAAACTCTTAATTTCTGAAATATCAATACAAAATTGCATTTCATTTTTAAAATGATTCTGCAAAACCCATTTAAATGAGTAATATGGGCACTATAATAATTTCTTTCTAGCTTGGTAAATCATACCATAATTTGTGTACACACTAAATGCTGACCAAATTCATTAAAAGCAATAATCACAAATTGCTTGGGGTTTCTATTCACTATTAACAGGCCTTAAATAAATGCCTGTGAGATTTGGGAACAAAAGCTGTTTTTGAAACTTCCCTCCAAGGCTTTAATAAACTTAATGAGAAGGGGAAACTCAAAAAATCTCTAGAAACCTGAGTATTTTTCACTTGTAAATGCTGAAACACTGAAAACATACACAGTTCTGCTGCTGCAGATGCTTTTTGGTCATAACTAACTAGTCCTCTTTATTTCCAATGAACGTAATATTCACACTACATTTATTATTTACCTCTGCAGCCCACAGCCCACATCCCTCATCACAGACATTCAGACTTCAGATTCACAAGTTTCTGCTGTGCTGATGCCAATTCTCCTGCCTTTAACCTGCTGGCAGCTCTGTATCCCCTCTCACACAGGAGGTCAGCATGAAATGAGAGCTGTAACCCAATATCACTCCATAAAACAACCTAACTCCTTCACTGGACCACACAGAGCTTTTTCCTTAGGGACTAAAACCCACTGATCCATGCAAATGTTCATTGCAGCCCACCTAAATTAATGAGAGAAGGGCAATTTCTCTCATTCTCCATACTGCTACAGAATGTAAGGAATTGAAACACATATATTATATTGGTGTTGAAAAAGAAATCAGTCTTCTAGAATTACAGATTTTATTATTTTAAAATACCTGTTGACTAAGTTACGTAAGTGCAGCAAACAGGGAAGAAACAAAAACTGTCATCAATCAGTTCTTTTGTCCTCATGTTTTTAAGCAAAAAACATTGCTATAACACAGCTCTTTCATTTTTGTTAGAATTGACTGCCAGCAACATTCCCCTTCCCTTAGCAGAAACTAATATAAAATTTAGGCTATAAGAAAGGGACTTCTATTTCAAAGAAATGGTTGGTGAGCAGTAAAGCAGAAATGCACGCCTTGATTCATTGATGTATTCACATTTCCAACAAATACCTATTTGATAAGGCCATTTCCTCACTCAGAGTCAGACACAGTACAGAAAATTTCCCCTATGAGTCACTGATTTGTATTAGTATTAATTATTTTACCTGTAATAAACATGCAATGTCTGGATTTCTTCTTCTAATTTTTTGCACTGTTGAAGAGCAGCCTCTTTTTCTTGTTGCAGGGTTATCAATTCTGCCTGTGAAGTGATAAAAAAATTATAAACAATTTATTCAGAATATCCATATTGCTTTGAAAATTTAACAATCCTCTGTGCATTCATTTGAGCCGTGGTCTATTATAAAGTTACTAAAGCGATACTGTTTTATAACACTGCTTATTTAACTCTTGTTCTAGCACTGCAATTGTTTCTAGTTTGTTGGGTTTTCTTCCTCAGCAGAACGATGCTTTGAATGGCTTCCCCCATGTGCATGGTAAACTTTTTAAATGGCTACGGTTAGACTTCTGTTCAGCCAAGTGTTTATCAACAAATATATTTTATATTGATATGCTCCTACAGTGCAAAACTATTGAGTGAAATGTAGCAAGTGAAGCAAAGCACTTGGCCCCAAACAACCAGCATGCGACTGTTGGTCTGCACAAGGCCTTCCAGCTATTCAGCATGGCCCTTTTGGTGAGAGCCACTGGCTGATGTTACCAGCAGGACAGCTGCTGGATAACTGGCACACTGAGCGGTGGTAGACGATGAGGCAATGCGGGATGACAAGACTGGCACCACTGTCTCATTTTGGGATCTGGGTGCATTCTCACCCAGGACCCAGATTGTAGTGGAGTGAGGGAATCTGTGAGCAACCACTGTCATCTCCCATCTGTGAACCCTCCCGGATATTTCCACTCCCGTTGTTTATTCACATCATGCTGTGAAAGGCTTATGACTCACAGCCATTATGGAAATTGCAGCATGTGGCTTGTAAGTCAGGAAGGTAGCCAGCCCCAACAGGACCTTATGGTTAAAAAGGAGGTAGGAGAAGTAAGTACTCATGTATATTTAATAGGGCCCTATAGGTTAATCACCAGTAATTTTCAACGTCCAGTTTCAGTAGCACTGCAGGACTCACTTGAGGGCCCAGATACCATATAAATTATCTTGAAATCAGTGGATGATTAATTGTTGTAACAACAAATAAGACTGGGCTTGCAAAGCAATTCTTTGACACATGAGCCTGAGCATTGGGCTGCTTTCCAATGTTTTTAATTCATGGTGTAAGTTATTAATTGTACAAATTTTAGAGCCCCAAACCAAGAGGTACATGTGTGAGAAATGCTGACTGCAGATTCTGCCAACTCTTCAGGATAGCGTTGTGGAAAAGTTTCTTGGTAAATTAAAGGCTTGTTACATGAGCTATGAATACATGAAGGGAAACGCACAGAGTTCAGCCTCTAGTGCTGCCAAACTCCCTGTATAATCATGAACAACTCTGTCTGTATGCCTCAAAATCTCTCTCCTAAAACAGGGCTCCCACTTGCTTCTGTTTCCTGTTTGCCTACTAAGACTTTAAGTCTTCAAGGCAGGTGCTTTACTGTTTACTGTCAACTCCCAGTCATCTATGGGCAATTTATTCTGCTGGTTGATTAATCATGTCCTGGATACATGGCTGACTGCTGGCAAATTTTATTAAACAGCACATTGCACAAATGCAGATACACAACCAATCTCTGCACTGTGCCGCTCAGTGTGTCACGTTGCACACAGGGTTTTGCATTGGCCTGCGTACAGAGCCTACCACTGTAAGTGCTCCTGCAATGGACATCCATAAAATTTTTATAGGAAGTTCACTAGAGAATAAACCAAACTTTCTTACTGTATGGCGAGTTCCTTCAGCTTCAAAAGCAGAAAGTGTTAATGTTTAACCTCTGAGTGACAGTAGTTTAGAGCTTCTGATACTGAAAACAATGTACTGGATGCTGGCAAGCCCTAGCTCCTGTCAACAACAGGTTAAAATCCTCTGCAGGTGAGCCTCTTGTCTGGTGCTGCTTGTTGCCTTGCAAGCAGAACTCACAGAACACAAGGATGTTAGCCAAACCAAGCTATTTTCTGTAATTATACTGTTCTGTAGGTGAAACAACATTCTTAAAAATTGGAAAACATGCTTGAATCAAAGTAGGTGGTTTGTTCTAGAGGCCAATAATTAACATCCTTGCCAATTTTCAGTGTACTGTGAAGTGTGATTGAAATGGTAGACTGGAAGGAAATGTTTGCAGCTGACACACCTACTCACGGAGAGATTAACAGCTAGTCTCTTTGGAGAACTATCATAAAATAGAACTAATGTTCCATCTGCTTTTCAGGACAAAAGTCAGAAGGCACTAGAGTCTGAAGACTCTTTTTTATCTCAGTTTTTCAGAGAAAACTGCACTGATTTGACTGGGTTTGCACCAGTAAAAATAACAGCTGGATCAGGTGCTTTGGATAAAGCAAGCAAACGAACCCCCAAAACAGCTACAAAAAGTGAAGGGAAGAAAAGAAGGCATTTGCTTACATCCTCAGTAGCATGCAGTGGGGTTGATTCTAGGGAGTTGCACGAGACCAATAAAATTTCAAGCACAAGATTTTTTTGTGCAGAGTGCAGCCACACAACAGAACACCCCATTATTCACAGACCTGAAGAGTGGTAAATACAAAGGAATGACTCAAATATCCTCTCAGAAGAGAGATGTCTTCTTTCACTAGAAGAAGGAAAGCAAAATAGTGCCTCACACAAAGTTAAATTGCTAACTAAAATAATGATGCCTTCACTACTATAAAACATTTGGAAGACTCCTCTAATGTACATTGAAATCTATCCATAACGCAAATGGCAAAAATCCTACATGAGCTCACCTCTAGTAATAACAGCTGCTTGGGACCTTTGTAGCAAAATATTATTCCTTTGGAAAGCATCAAGCTCTGGAAATCAGAACTCTTCACAGAAATGGGCAAGTTTTGATTAATTTTTTTTTAAAGGTAGAGTAAGGAAGGTACAACAAGAGGAGAAAGAATACACTCATGTGCCTCTGGTGGTTTCCCCTAAAAATGTCAATATAAAGGAGGTGAGGTTGGTCACCGCTTTGGTATTGGGGTCACCCTCAGTGAAGTTCCTGTTTAATCCAGAAAAGGTTAAACAGATCACTGATCCCTGGGATATGGTCTTTCTTCCAATTTTATTTTGCCCACAAGATCCTCTGCTTTCATATTTGGTTTAAGGTGGATAGATTCTTTCCCTATGTGCCTCACCCCCCCCCCCCCCCCCAAAAGAGAATTCTTGTTTCTACACGTATCCCATTTTGCATTTGAGCAAACTTGCAAAAAAATTTAAATTTTGCTAATTGCTATCTATCAAACCTAAACCAGCCTGATCTTGACTAAGAAAATATCATTACTGATCCTTTTGTTATTGCTTTTGTTTCAAAATATCTAAATGAACAGTGCTGTATGCTTTCTTAAGCCAAAGAATCTAAAAATACAAGACTTGGACGAAGGAAAACAGTAAACCTAATTTTTATCTTTTTCTGATTCCTCTAGGGCAAACATGAGCATCCTCAACTCTAACCTAAATTGAAAGGTAAGAACACACATCATCCTATGCTGCCAGGTTCCCTGTTGGTGACAGATGGTTTTTATAATGCTCTTCGACATCCAACAGAAGGAAAAAATATTTCAATGAATTTGAATAATAAATATTCATATCTATCTTTTTACTGATTTTTGTCTCATACTTTTATAGAAAGCATATATATTTCCAACTACACATATTTATAGAAAGCATATATTTTTCCCTCCTTACATAGGTTAATCAAACAACCTTTTGCGTTACCTCTCAGTAAGCAGGCTCTGTATTCTCCTGATCAATTCAAATGCATCTCTCATCAGTACTCTGCTAGCAGTACACCCTAACTCTAGTGGAAATATATTATGATACATTCTTGCATCCCTTTTGCTCACAGTCACCCTCTGATACATGTCTATTCTCCTGCCCACTGGTATTACCCAGCTAACAGTGGAAATTCTTATTCATACTGGAACAAGGATACCTTACACTTGGTACCACTGAATTCCACCCCACTGCTTTTATTTTTCCAGTACTTGAAGCCATTCCAATCTTTCTACAAGATAGCTTGAACTTACTTTATTTGAATAATGTCTCCACTTTGTATTAATAACATCTCCCAGCTCTGCATCATCAAGCAATTTTGTGGGTACACTGCTGCTCTTTATGCCAAAGGTTCTCAATGACAGCATTAAAGAAAACTGGTTCAGCACCAACTAGTGAGAAATTGGAGTGAAATTCCACTAGTGAAATCCTTGGACCTTAACGTTTCTCCTTTCAAAGCTGTTTGCTGTTGCCTTCCTGCTAACTAGTTCCTTATTGCCTTTGACTAATCCCTCATCTCCTTCATGGGTACATGAAATTTTGCAGACAGACATGAGCTCAACATACCCATCCTTCCAAACAAGAGATGCTAGGTAAACCCAGCTAGCAGCAAGCAGCATTTCCCACATTAAGCTTGTACATGCTTGTAAAATAACAATATACACATTCTCCACTGTAATGAATAATTTTCCATATGGCACCACATGAAGCTTATGTGTTAATTTATATTTAACAAGTTTCCTTGTCTAAATAACCAGTTATCATACTAAAGAAGAATTCTTGCATGATCTTACTTAGGTGAAAGCTGTACTTCAATTCACTGTCGATGGATCCATGCTTTAAAATCATTTTTCTCCCAAATTTACTCCGAAGCCTCACAATAAAGACTAACTGGGCTACAACTGCCAGAACTCTGTTTCTTTGCCCTTCTAAATACAGATGCTGCCTCTGCTAATTTCCTGTCATATTACACTGTACACAGCCTCACAGGATTTATTAAAGAACTTCACTATCATTCTTGTAATTTCAGGTATAAGGTCTTTCAGAACTGGGGATAGAAACCTGCCATTATCCCAATCTGAACACAATAATGTGTTGAACAGCTAGGATGTACTCCATTTCCATACATTCACTTTTCTTAACCCCTGTCCTTGTAGTTGACATCAACATGGCCCAATGCTGAGAGAAAAAAAAAAAAGAAAGTCACGCAGATCCGGGTTATCCTTGATCTCCATGCCATTCTCAGAGCAATGGCAAATTTCCTCTTTCCTTGTTCTCATTTCAGTCGTTACACTATTGTTTGTTTTAATATCCTTTCCAAAGGCCA